TAAGGACTTTCCAATTTTGGTGTAAATTTCCATACGAATTTTCACTATGTTTTTTTATGCCATCTTTTTCCCTCTATTTTCCAATTCATAATCATTGGAGGTTATAGGGAGTTAAGGGTGGATTGGGAGTTGTATGTTTGAATTTCAAGTTCAAACTCCCTTCAACCTTTTTAATAACTAGTGGGTCGGGTCATTCTACATGGGTGACCCACGATCCGTATTTTTCTAACAGTATGAATATGAAATTTTCTTCTTCAAAGTTGGAGGTATGACCAGCCGTATTGAATGATGCACTTTTATTACGCTTTCTATAATGAAATTCACGATTCTTAAACTTTGTTTTCCACTCAACGGTCTGGATCCAAAATTCAAGGAAACTAGAGCGGCCATTCCCACTCGAGACTCATCATGTTGTTTGAAGAACTTCACGACAATTTACTCGACCATTAATCATAATTGAAAAAAGAAGAGGAAAAAAGGGGATTACCTTCATCACCAAACGTCCTCCAACTACAAAGAAAACGAGTAATGGTGGAAATTTGAACAAGGAAACAATCAAAACTTTGACAGAAACCAAAGACTTCTCGTGAATATTTTCTTGAAATGAAAAATAAAATAATCCTACAACATTATTAAAAGTTTATTTGGTTCATTGGTGTAAAAAGTGTCAATGCTATTTAAAATAAAGGTGTATGTTTGTAAGAGAATCCATGTTTATTTTTTTGGTAACATATCATTCATCAACCTTTTAATTTCGTAGCATTATTAGGTCCATTAATACCCATAGATGACATGAAGTTTTTGTTTCCTTTTCTTTGACGATCATAGTGTCACAAAAATAAGTCCATGACCAAGTTGCTACAAGAGCCAAATATGGAGACTAATCTTGAAATTTTCCCGTCTGTTATTGAAAATTTAATCAGTCGGAAAATATTAATTTTATGAAATTTATTGATGAATCAAGTGAGAAAATGTAAAAATATAGATGAAACTAATTTTGAAATATCAAAGTTATAACCTTATCATTCATTTAACTAAGCATATCAATGCTTTATTAAAAAAATATCACATAACAATCAGCAAAGTACAGACAGAAACCACATTTTATTCCCAAGCCTAAGCATGATCTCTTATCAATTTATAGGATTGATTAAATATTCCTTGAAACAGTAACCTTCAAACCATGTTTCATATGAAGCACAACAGAGTTACATGGAGCTATAGCATGGCCTTTTACCACTTCAATATGGAAACTGCTTATAATGGAGGCTGCAACTATTTTCATTTGAATGAAAGACATCTCCTTCCCTAAACAGCTCCTTGGCCCTGCATTAAATGCTGTAAACTTGAAAGAGGGTTCGTGTTTTATTTGTCCTTGTTCGGAAATCCATCTTTCTGGCTTAAACTCTAGACAATCTTCCCCCCATATGGATTTCATTCTTCCCATTGAATAGAATGATAAACAAGTTTTTTTATTCGGGTTGATCCTGTGTCCACTTGGAAGAATATCTTGCTTTCTTGGAGCTTTGTGCTGCAAAGGCACTGGTGGAAACAGGCGTAATGCTTCACACAGTGCACCGTGTAGATAAACCAGTTTCTTTAGCTCTTCTGTGTTGGAATATTTCCATTTTCTTTTTTCATCGACTTGTAAATTCGTCATGATTTCTTCTCGAATCTTGTTTTCTTCGATCGGATTCGTTGCTAGAAGCCAAAAGAACCATGTAAGAGCTGCACTTATGGTGTCTTTACCAGCAAAGATTAAATTCAGCATGGTGTCTTTCCATAGATTTTCAGATATGTGATCTGGTGCATCACTCTTATCTCCAGCTCCTTTCATGTAACCTGTTAACACATCGAGATCCTCATTTTCTTGTGGAGCGGTTTGGTCTGCACAATTAATTTTCAATTGCTTTAGAGAGATACAATGCATCAGAAATTCATTGATGGAGTACAACGCTTTACTAAGGTTCTTCTCTTTGCCAATTTGGAGCCATTTTTGAAGCTTCCAGCAAGTTTCTGGGAGAATATGCCTATAGAAAACTGCTTCCTCAGCATCAGCAAAGGCTTTTTCATATGACAAATGTGGCAAATCATTGTGCAATGAAGCCGGATCATGGCCTAAAATCAAAATGCAAGTGCAATCATAGGCAAAACGTTGAAATAATTCTTGCATATCCACTTCCTTCCTTATCTTTGCCGCATTCTCCAGAATCGGGATGAGCCCTTCTTCCACCTTGTTTCGGCTAGTTGTAGCTACGAACTTTTGGAACCCCTGGCGATTGATTAATGACATAATGGTTCTCCTTTGGTTTTCCCACGATTCTGATTCCGCGTTGAATATCCCATCTCCTAAAATGTCGAATATCTTGTTAAATTCAGGACCTTTTGTGAAGTTTTGAGAGTTTTTGCTCAATATGTAATGAACATTTGCTGGATCACAAGTCATCAACATGTCCATGTTGCCAAACCATGGGCCTTTAAACCAAACAGTGGTGGAGCTCTCAAGAAGCTCGGTGATACAGTCGTGGATTCTGTGAATGTTGAAAAATAGCAATGGCGTCATACCAAACAGTGGCAAGTTTGTATGCAGCAATCTTTTCTTTCTTTTTCCATCGAAGTTTCTGTAGGAAAGAAAAGTTGCAGACAGAATGACAAGCAGTAGTATGACATAATTTATGATAGCCAACATATCTGTTGTGTGTATTCTGAAATCAAAAGTTAAATGGTGAGGTTTCGTGTGTTTGGCTGATAATATGCTCTGTCTTAGTGGTCTTTTATATCGGTCATTTATTCAAATGGGAAATTCTATTTAGCATAACTAGTGTTACAATAAAGTCTAAGTAGCACTAAATTACTTTTAATAAGAGGTACAATTAAATTAATCGAGTAATTCTACATTTAATTTAGCAATAGAGTATCACAGTAGATCTGTCACAATATCGTGATCACAACGTAAACCGACCTACATTTACAACAGCTTGGCGTAAGTCGAAGTAACCAACGTTTACGGTACAAAAGATCGATCTTAAACCCTCCAACCAGTTTAGCTCCATTTTGATGTCTCCAAAGCAAAGTTCGTAATTTGAGCAGTATATAGTTCTGCCTTCAGACCAACTAATTAGTTTTTTAAATTCGTTTCCTATAAAAACAAATAATAATCATCCACATCGCCCTTGTGTGTTTGTAGATGGGAAAGACAGACTCAACTAGGGACGGGTTGCTAACAGAAAAGCAACAAACTGGTTAAATAAAATTAACGCTAATCTGCACTAACAATGCAACTAATGATACAAAACATCCTCTCGAGCTCACAGGACTTTTGAGGAGTATGAGCATGGAGCGGAGAGCAAGGAATCGAGAAGTGGGGACTGCCTTTGTAACTTGTAGGGGTGCTGCCTTTTCCCTGATGAAGTCGAATTCAATTTCTACATGCTTTGTTCTAGAATGAAGGACAGGGTTGGCTGCCAAATATATAGCATTAAAACATACACAGAAGAGTAATGTTGCTTCCGAACTATAATTAGCTGAGGACCAAGCTATTACTAGGACTATAGGTTAGGTACTAATTCTGCAGTTTTCCCTGTCAATTAAATAATGTACATCTAAATATGAAATATCAAACTACTCTAATAATGATTCCTACAATGCCATTATGGTTATATGAGCTGATGCTCATGTTCATCCCACTTTGCATTTTTACGATCGGGTTTGGGTTGATGAACGCTTGGTTTATTACCGGTAGTAGTGTAGTAGGTACTTCATAACCAGTTTCGTAAATCAGTACATAATCCCCGCAAACATTTTTGCTGACTTCCTGAGCATGCCCGTGGCGCNAGTGTAGTAGGTACTTCATAACCAGTTTCGTAAATCAGTACATAATCCCAGCAAACATTTTTGATGACTTCCTGAGCATGCCCGTGGCGCTTGTGAGTAGATGTGAGTTCGAAATGGGTAACCCGAGGCCGTAGGTCGGATCCTTACAAATCTAAAATAAACCGAAAAAGTACAAGGTTGAACTTACTGGTTGATGTGGGCGATTCATTTTCGCAGCTGGAGGCAGCAAACTAATTCAAATAGTTTCTGTATTGGGTATTTGAGAGTACAAACCAAAGATACTATCTGTTGACCCCAAAAAATGTTGTCAATAGATGCTGGACTCACTCGTGTATGCGTAAGCTTAATCCAACATGTTAATGCCGATCGACAGTCATGATAGCTCTAAAATCTGGACGTGGGAGGAACTCAACGACATGAGACGTTACCGTTCGGGCTTCCGGCAAGATAAATGTAACACGATTGTATAAGAAACCAATCGATAAATTACAAGATTTGTAGTAGAAAATACGCTGTTAAACAAGAGAGAGGAAAAAATCATATTACTTTAAGTATTTGAAGTTTTATTAACCTCTTTTGTGTTACATGGTGGGGGTATTTATAGTGTTACAACTCAAATGGTGACCTTTGGATCAATTTACACTTGGCCTCATCTCCTCGGTCAAGACATCAAGTCCTAGCTATCAAGTTGACTCTCCTAACCTTACAAAACATTAAATGTTCTTACATTGACAAGATAAGGCACAAATATACTTTACACAAAAGTCACGTCAATCATTCAAATAAAGATTTTCATCATGAGTGAATCTTCACATGTGGGTTTTCACTAGCTGCAAAAGGGCCTCAAATAGTGTATGGCTACGGAACCAGGGCTTCGGCTAACAATGATGGTCTCGGAATAAGGGCCTCGGTTAACAACGATGGCTTTGGATAATGGGGCATCGATTAACAATGATGCCCTCGGATAATGGGGTCTCGGCTAACAATGATGGCCTCGGAATAAGGGGCCTCGGTTAACAATGATGACCTCGGAATAAGGGCCTCGGTGACACGTCAGAGGCCAGGAAAACACATCCTGATTTAATTGGGTCCACCGCCGATATATGGTGTCACGTGGTGCTTCTATTTATGAGTCGTAACACTATCTGCTGGCGACGGTAATGGAAAGGTGAAACGATTCCTTTCGTAGGTGATCGTGCATTAGTCAGTCTTCAATTTAAAAGCCTGTGGTTTCTGATTCCACGTTCCTGTACCCAAAATTCAAGGAATCATGTCGTTTAAAGAACTCACGACAAGTGTCCTTGTCTGTCACAGATTTTTTAACCAAAAAAAATTTGATTTGTGTACCGTTACTTTTAAAAAAAATGCATCCATTGTTGACTATCTTAGACATAGGTGGGACCCACCGTTTGAGAAAAAGGGCCATTTTTCTGGTTAAAATCTGCTGGAAATCGGTAACAGACAATCATTAATCATTATTGAAAAGTGAAGAGGGGAAAGCAGGGATTACTTTCATCACGACACAATTTCACCAAAACTGGTGGAAATTTCAACGAGGAAACAATCAAAACTTTGCCAAAAATCAAAAGACTTCTTGTGAAAAAATTCTTGGAAAGAAAAAAATGAAATTTATTCAGCATATAATAACCATCGACAAGGAATTTTTTTTTCCCACGCCTAAATAGATCCAGCCATGCATGATACGAGCCTAGTTTTCTTGATCAAAACTGAAGTGCAAGTGGATTTTATTTTTTTTTTTGCCTGGTAAAAAATGAGGCCTGTACAACCTTGTCAAATACTAAGCCATCCGAGGTTTAGGCTCAACAAGTTTTCTTTCTGTTGGATAATTTCAAAATATTTGAAGCCACATGTTGTATATTAAAATATGTGGTGCTATTATTTACAAGATGTTAGTCAATTAAAGTGATCTGTTAAAATTGTATTGTGACTAATGTGTATTAGGTTTCATGGAAATATAGTGTAGAGATCGAAATGTTGTTTTAGATTGATGAGGAGCCAATTTGAAGCAACTGAAAGATAGTGACTATTCAGTTACTATTATTTTATAAGGTTATGATCCAAATTTGTTGGCGTTCTTGAGATTCTCTGTATCTCCATCAACAAAGAGTGAAAATCAAGAGAAAACCACCAATCAATTGGAAGATCATAACTCATTCAGGCCAACAATCAAACAATATGAAGAAAAATATGTTTATACTTCCGCTATTTTGTTATTTTCTCTATTTTCAACATGGAATATTATTTAGGGTTTATATGAGAAAAGTATTTGAATCTATAATCCCTACTATGTTTTTCTATTAAGTGGTATCAGAGCATTTTCATTGTTGATTTTTGAGACATTAAAGTTTTAAAATTCTAATTTTTTTTTTTTTGAATTTCGGGTTATTGGATCTTCAAGCATGTTATTATATGGATTATGATATTATTAAAGTTTTTCTGAATTTTGGGTCATATATTTAGATTTTTGATCGAGTATGATAAGTGTGTGAATATTAAGCTCGTTGGATATGTCGTAATTAATTATACACTTTAGACTCGAGAAAAAGTTAATTTGGATTAAAGGAGTCCAAGTTATCGAAGTCGAAAGAATTAGCCTTGAATCATATTTGATATTAAATGAATTTAAATGTTATGAGAGTGACACATGTAAGATTGATAAGATACTATTTAGGATTGGTTTTATAGTTAATGTGTGGGAGTTTGTTGAAACGGTTAAGTAGTAGTTATTATTTTATTTTTTTTATATTTTTGTGAAAAACTAAGAGGTTGGTTGAGATAAATCACCTTAGATGATAGAGATGTGTGCATGCAACTTACTATTTTCTACACCCTCATCTCACACGTTTCCCCACAATGTACCAACTCTCTTATAATTGTCTATGTATCACATGATAGAATAGACACGAAAAAATATATACGTACATTCACAGCACAAAAGCAAAGGTAGAAAAAGGAATTCTTGGAACGTGATTCTTGTTTTGTTTTCCAAAATTAAAGCAAGTTTAACAAGGTAGGAAAAGAGGTGCAGTTATTTATCCGGCGCCGCACTCCGACGACGACTCGGTTCGGCGCCGTCAAGGGAGGAAAACCCTAATTTTTGGTTTCAGTTTGGAAGATTAGGGGCCGAGGGCTTGGGGTGCAAATTTGAAGTTTTGGCGCCCCTGATTGCAATTTAAAATTAGGGTTAAGGTTGAGTTCTTTATAATTTAGCCCCTAAAGTTTAAAATTTATTTAAGTTGGGTCTTAAGGTTATGGGTTTAAATAAAGTCAGTCTCTGGAGGTTTAAAATTAATTAATTTGGGCCATTTTAGTTCTGCATTTTGCAATTAAAGCCCTCAAAATTTTTGATTTTGTTCTAATTGGCCCCAAAAGGTTTTAAATTTTAAAATTTACCCCTAAAGTTTAAAATTAATTAATTTTGACCCCTAAAGTTTTGAATAATTAACTTTTGGGTCCTTAAAGTTTTGGATAATTAATTTTTTTGACTCCTAAAGTTTTCAACAA